TCTCTTTCCTCCTTATATATATCTTTCTCCAATTCTCACACTCTCTCCCCTTCTCTCTGTCTCTCTCACTCTATTATTATTTGATAAAATATTAATAGGTTATTAGTTATTATGTGGAGAGCTGGAGTGTTTAGCAGTTTTTTTTTTCCATTTTAAAGAAGTTGGAAACATGCGAAAAAATTAATACCAGGAACCAGTAGCGTACGCAGGGGGGGGGGGGGGAGGGAGCAGGGGGAGCGGCCGCTCCCCCTCTGGCCATTTTCAGTAAAGTGGCGCCTTTTTGGAAACTTTTTAAACTCAAAGCTTTAAACAATGATATTTGTTAAAAAAAAATTTGGTCGGCACATCTATGTAAATCACAATATTTCATGCAGCAATTAAGCATTATTGTACTAGTCTAGTAGTGTCTACGTTTACAACACGTATTAACAGCTGCATCAGTTTGCCATTCTAAAAATAACCATTACGACGCATTGCAATGTTTAAAAAACCTCTAAGGTAGTACCACTTGGCAAAAGGGGTGAAGTTTAAGGCAACTGTATAATGTATTTGCTTACGAATAATTGAATTAGAAAATGTTATACGTAAAACTTCACACATAATTACATTGTATATACAGTTTGAATCGTGTGATTATTTAAAAAAAATTTCAATACAGAAACAAATACAACTGATGTGGCACCTTTATTTAAATTTACTTATGAGCAAACTGCGTTGTGGTGGGGACATTTTGACAAGGTCAACAACGACATCACGATGAAGTAGTAGTATTCTTACAGTTTGGGCGATAGTGATTACGATTACAAATTATATGAAACAGTTACAACCCCAGCCCCTTCCCCATGGACCCCTCTGTAAAAAGAATATTGTCATAATACCACTGCTACTTATTTAAATATATTTCTGTAATATATATTTGTGTAATATATATGTGTGTAATATATATGTATGTTTAGAACAGTCATGTAAAAACTGACGCTATGTCCACTCTGAGTTTTTTTTATACCAACTCTGATTTTAAAAACTTTCATTATGCTGTAATACTTAAGCATTTATGATGACGATATATTAAATTCTGACTATAGACAAAAACATTTTGTAAACACGAATAGTGTTAAACAATTTCATTATAGTCTAAAGTAATTATTTATTTGTTTTGACATTTATAATTAAATGTGTAGATATATACATATTTATATTAAGAGAGTTATTATTTCCCCTATTTCACTTGTTAAATTATTTCCCAGGAATTATTATGTAAGAATTTTTTTTACAAGAATTACAAAACAGATTGTGCTACGTTCATTGTTTTTGGTTGTAGTGTGTGCATATAGATCTATATATCTATATATTTTTTGTTTAGATTGATACAATTTTTGGTTTGGCCTACATTGTGTGCTTTTTCTTTTTTCTTCAGAGTGCTACTTTCAATTTATTTTACATCATAGCGAAGTAATGACATACAGCTTGTAATTATATATATATATATATATATATATATATATATATATATATATATATATAGTACACGCATATAGAACATAGAACGTGTTAAAAATTCGGCGCCTTTTTTTGCTCTTTTCGCTCCCCCTACAACGAAAACCTGGATACGCCTCTGCCAGGAACATAAATATAACTGCATAGGCTACGTGAATACTACAACTTAAACAATTATAATAACCTATGTTGATTTAAATGGAATACATACTCTATATTGTAATATTCTAATTAATTTTTAGCCTTAAATTAATGTAAAATCAATGCACCTTCCCATGCATTTAGAATTTAATATTTTCCCCTCAGCAAAAAGAGTACTACGATGTCCTTGATCACCACATCAAAAAGATGGATTCCGACGAAACAAACCAGAACGTTCCAAGCTCGCCTTTCACACACTGGGTTAAATCGATTGATATTGGAAACGAAAAGATATATTCCATAACGATAAGCAGTACAGGTAGGTAATCAGTCTTGTATTTTTATAATAAAACTACAATTTTCCAATACACATAACATAATATTACTATATAGAATTATTATAGAGCTGTTTGTAGTTAATTACAAATAGACAGTCTAAATTATATTACTTAGAAAAGAACGAGTGCTGTTGCACCTAAGTCTTCTTGTAAATTTTAAGTAAAGAAGAAGGTAAACGGCTGAAGTAGAGAGTCCCTGATAAATGTTATACATTGATACTAGGTTGCACTGTAAGGCCATAAGAAGGAGTTACACGTTGGTCTAATGCTTAACTATTTTTCTCTCTATCGTTGATTTATGCTTTATTTCTCAAACAAGCACAACGTATTTGTTGGCATTTGTTTATAAAATAAATAAATAAATATAATAACTTAATATAAATATTATTTTAAAAAATCGATGCCAATTAAAGCATATAATAACAACCAAACTATTAAATAACTTTTTTTTTAATTTTTTTTTTCAGACTTAACTTGGAAAGATTTTCGTAACGATTTCCAAAATTGTTTACAAGGAAAATACGGAGATCTCGACGGGGAAAACTTAGAAAAATTAAGCAATTATTTCGCTGATTGGACGAGAACGAAATCTCGACGGGAAAAGATACAATTCTCCATTAAAACATTTTATTACGACGCGCTAGCCAACAACAGCGACAACAAATTTAGCAGGCACAGTCAATATTTACCACACAGAAGAACTTGTCCAGAAGACGGTTTGGTTGAAGTGAATGAAAAAATATGTCCGGACTCTTTTACATCCTTGATCCAGACAATGGAGATTTTTATTGCCAAATGTAAAGATTCAAAGACCAAAATAGTGAACATCCAAAAGCATAAATTAATTTATATGGAGTTTTTTTCACAAAATACTCAAGCAGGTAGGCGTTTGCGTTTGTTTTGTATTATATTTTAAAATTCAAATAATCTGACTTTCAAATAATTTTTCGCAACCTGTAACTAATATTTTAATGATGTAAACCAATATAACATTCTAATTAGAAATCAGTAGTTATCTGTAGGACGTAACTTCCATTTTAGGAGTACAACCTGATCAAATGAACGCGAGCTCGGCCGTGCAAGAGAAGATAGATAAATACTTTTACAACCTGCGCACTGTACTGCAACCACTTCCATTTGAAAACCAGAGCCGCAAGTCCGACCTGTGTAAGTCATTTTTTGCTTTATTGACGGGCTGATGGTTTGTTTAACCGAAAAGTAACGAGTTCGAATCCCCGGGTAGATGAGGCTTGATAGCTAGGGACAGCAAATCATCTAGGATAAACAACATCAAAATCCAACTTCTGCCTTTTAGTTAGTTTGGGCAAAGGTTATAGAAGCAAATCTAAAAAGGAAAGCAGGCTGAAATAGGAGTCAACGACTATATGGCGCATAACAACTTGACACGTAATACTAACTTGTGTTGGAGGAAATCCCGTCCAACATTTGAATTAATAATAAGAAGCAGAAAGCAGAATTCAAGAGGTCAGTTATTTTCAAAGATGTAACATTTAGTGTAGGAAATTAAAATTAGATGTGACAGAGCGGTAGAAAGCATGACTACATACACGAATGTCTTGAGTTCAGATTTGACCTAGAGACATCCCTGAGTCCATCCACACCCAATGACTGCTTGAGACACGTTATGGAAAATAAATCGACTAAGACATAGCACTGCCAACACGATCGCTTCATATGCCGAGTTGGACTCGACTACACTTGCCAAAGCTCGAGGTTCTAAAGTACAAATATCAAATATAATAGTTAACTATTAGTTTAACTATGGGGCGAAGTGATCAAACGGTAGAGCATACGACTTTTAACCCGAAAGTCTGGAGTTCGAATCCGGGTTTTAATACATAGAACGTCACTGAGTCCACCCAGCTCTAACGAGTACCTAACTAAAGTTGGTGAAAGTAAAGGCAGCAGGCATTTTGCTGACCATACTAACCTTTCAAATGACGAAGAAACTGGTGAACTCTATTTCACCTTCCCCAATGACCGTAAAAGGGTTCGAAAGGGGAAATTAACTTACTTTATTAGTATAAGTATCTTATACATGTGTGTTTATCTTCAATTTCAGATAGAACAATAAGGAGGAGAAGTAATGCATATGGTAATGTACAATTTCACACGTTGACTTAATGCTAATACAGCTGATACACATATTATATTCATGACTTTAAGATATATCTGTAAAATTTCAGGCGCCACTCCTTCAAGACGCATGCAAGATTACGCTTTCAACTCCAACGAAAGTATTTGCAAACTGTACTCATTACTTACGGAATACACAAAAGCTCTAAACTTTTACAAGGTATGTCGTCAATGTTGTTTTCATTAGCCGTCTATCAGACATCAGTCCGGGAATACCAAATCTTAAAAATAATAATAAACAACTAGAGTATCAGAGGTGTCCTGATATATATATATATATATATATATATATATATATATATATATATATATATATATATATATATATATATATGGTAGAGAGCTGGACTGCTAACCCTTAAGTCTCGAGTTCGAATCGGGTTCAAGTCAGTAGACCGTCCCTGAGTCCACCCAACTCTGATGGGTACCTAACTCACGTTAGGGAAAGTAAAGGCGGCTGGGCATAATGCTGACCACATTATCTCTTCATATGCCGAGGTCACAGAAACAAGTGAACTCTACTTCACTTGCCCCATAGACCGTTAGGTTTGAAAGGGAACTTTACTATATATATATATATATATATATATATATATATATATATATATATATATATATATATATATATATATATATATATATATATATATATATATATATATATATATATATGTATATATATGTATAATGAATTAATATGAATGTGTGTATCTTTTTTGTGATGTGGAGCATTTTTTTATTGATGATGATTTTAGTTATAGAATATCTCCTATAAGACAAATGTCTTCAAATATATCTCCAGACTGTAGACACAGAGGTTTCAGAAATACAATCCCCAGCAAGAAAAAATGAATTTGAAACCATCATGAGCGACATTCGAGAAAGTCATGAAAAGTTGCTTCGGTTTATAGAGAATATGGACCTTGACTCATCCGATGCAGACAGTGATGTTCGGGAGTTGATTCTGTTCGTTGAACGAAATCCATTACAAAGATTGCACACATTCATGGAGGTAGTTTAATACTTATTAAACATATTATGTGCCGTAAAATAGCGTTTTAACCAAGAATTGAATTTTCTTCTCAATCGTTCTTAATTACAGTATCGGAGGTAATTTCTTCAAAATTAATTATTACGTGTCAACACATGCGTCAAATGCCCCGTATACTCCAAATTAAGTCTGTTGGTTTTTTTACTTTCTCGTATATACCAAGTATAGAGAAAGTATTTAGATCGTGCAAAAAAAATCTAGATTTTTTGCAAATCTCGACGTTTTATGGCCCCCTGAGTCGGAAAAACATAGATTTGCAATCTAGTCCGTATGTCTGTGTGTGTGTGTATGTTGTGTGTGTGTGTGTAAACACGATAACTTAAGTACCTTTACAGCTAGGTTGATGAAATTTCATATATAAGTATTATATCAAAATCGTAGATCCGTTTCAGTTTTTGAGCGATTTCCGGTAACCGGAAAAGGAACTTATTCAGATAAATAAATGAAATTTCACATATAAGTAAAAGATCTAATTTATTTTTTGTCTTCAAATCAAATTTTGAGTAATTTCCGTTGACCGGAAGTAGTAATTTTCACTATTTCCGATTTCTCAAAAAAAACGCATGTGAATTTAAAAAGTACTAAAAATATTCCACACTATTATACACATCTTTATTCGGCGTTCGCTTGGTGCGCAATTCTTTTTTCTATGAGATTCTATTTTAAAAAGTTTAAGTATTTAAAATGTATTAAAAATCATAACTATATCCCGAGTTCCCATCCCCTGTTGTTTTATATAAGAATATTCGAGAAAGTTTAGGGGATATCACTCCCGGTTTATTTTTATTGCTTCCATAAACCTATTTCAACCCAGAAAATGTTCAAAGCATCAGTTGATTTTATTCATTTTCCTCGTTCTGTATCGTAATGTTGGACGATACAATTAAGTAATACCTGACATCTTGTACGCCATATTGCACATGAACTTTAGGCACCGATTTCAGCTTCCTTTCTGGATTTGCTTCAACCACTTTGTTCAAATAAAGAACAAACTATAGGGCAACAATTCTGTTATTTTGAAGTTTTCTCTCCTAGATGGGTTGCTGTCCTCAGCTAGCGAGCCCCGTCTGCTCAATGAACTGTAATCGCGATTTTCCGGTTGTGAGACACGCGCCTCACGCAAGCATGCGTCCCCTATTGTATTTAAATTAAGCTGATACCTTTTTTTTTATTGTAGGCATTTTTGTTTTTCTCTTTATTATTCGACCTCTCTGTTTTTAAATATTAGTATAATAGCAAACCTCGAAAGTACATGTGTAATATCCCGAAAAACGCTAAGATTCATGCCAATTCAATCTATAGTTCTTAAATACTGAAAAATTACATGTTAGTCCAAACAGTTCGAGTACATAATTGTGTCTTAACTTGATTCAAAGTCACAACTTAAAAAATTTTGGTAGTGATAAAATGGTTAAAATATCGTAATAATGATATAATTTCCAACTGCGTTGATATTGATACAGATGATGATTTCTTGAAATTTAAATTTTAAAACAAAACGGTTGAATATTTATATGAAATTTCAGCGTGTGACTATTTATAATTTTGATGCTTATCATATCTTTTAAAATTATTTTTCTCGATTTAGTTAAGGTTTTGGTATCGAGTAGTGAAATGTGGTTTTATGTTTTGTCAAACGATGTTTCTTGGGAAGATTTACGATAAACAAACAAAAAAACAGCAGTATTATAATATTTTACTACTCATTTTATCTTATATTTATATATATATAGATAAGGGGATTTATAATTAGTATTTTATATTGTATGTCTAGTTTTGGAAAGAGAGTAAAGTGTGAGGGCGTTGGGAATCTCATGCGACAAGGTATACGAACAAAACTCTCTGAAGTTAGGGTATCACAAGTGTGTTTAATCTCTCTTGATCTTGTCCTCCTCACAACCAACCGTCACCTCCAACTGCCATCCACATTCAGAACTACACACCTTTCTCCCGCTCATAACAAACACGCTGTCACTCGACCAGTCACTTCCCCTTTACCCTCGCTCACTCCGTACGACAACATAGGCTACACGTCACACACCCGCTGTCACTCGACCAGTCACTTCCCATGTTACCCTCGTTCATTCAGTACAACAACATACACGTCACACACCCGCTGTCACTCGACCAGTCACTTCCCATGTTACCCTCGTTCATTCAGTACAACAACATACACGTCACACACCCGCTGTCACTCGACCAGTCGCTTCGCATGTTACCCTCGTTCATTCAGTACAACAACATACACGTCACACACCCGCTGTCACTCGACCAGTCACTTCCCATGTTACCCTCGTTCATTCAGTACAACAACATACACGTCACACACCCGGCCTTGCGCACCACTACCGTATGTACACACACACACAAACACGCAGGCAGTGGTACGTCCCACGTACACACCTGTTATACACATCACATCACCACATAAAGCAAATGTTTTATTTATGTTCATTTTAGGATGTAACAACAAAATTACCAGCTGGAAATCCTGTACAACTTCTCCTGTTCGGCAAGACTGGTCACGGCAAGAGTTCCAGCGGAAACAGTATCCTACTGGAGAAAGTTTTCCAGAGCTCCGACAGCTCGCAATCTATGACCCAACACGCCATGTTAAACTACAAGTTAATCGATAACAGGTTGATCAATGTCATCGATACCCAAGGGGTGCTCGACACCGGGCTGGACATTCAAGACAGGTCAAATCTTGACTTAGCCGTTCGATCAGTTAGCGAAGGTATAAATTTATGCCGAGACGGGTTTCATGCATTGGTTTTGGTGTTGACAATAGATAGTAGATTCACAGATGGAGAAAAACAAGTTTTTGAGCTGATAAGGAATGTACTGGGCAAAGATGTGATTAAATTACACGGCATTCTTCTGTTTACTAAAGCCGACACCCGCATGGATAAAATACCGTTTAGCGAATGGTTAAAAATGAAACACGATTCTGCTTTTGAACAACTCATACAGGAATGCAATTATCGGTGCGTTTTATTTGATAATAAAACTGAAGACCCAAAGAAAATGAAACTGCAGCTAATTAAATTAATTAATTTGGTAGACAGTTTAAACGGCGCTGTTTATTTAAATGAGATATTCGATGCAGCAGAAAATTGTCGTTTGGAGTGTGTGCATAAAAACCCGCTGTTGAACAAAGTGTACGTCAATGCACTAAGGACGATTGAGTGTGCAGCAAAGTTTATCACGCAAGAAAAAGACAATGCAAAGAATTACCAAGATCAGCTGCTCCTAGATCTCAGCGTGGAAATAAAGAAATTTAGCAGCAATGTGAAGAAGGCACCGAGTGAAACACTGAAAAAAATTGTTGTGAGTTTAGCTTCAGTTAGAGCGATGGTTAAAAAATATATGCGGAGTAGTCAATTTGCAACCTTAGACGTAGAAGAGTTCGAACCATGCTACAAATTAATCGTCCAATCAGAAGAACATTGCGTTGCTTTGTTACGCGACGACAATTTTGAAACTCTCAAATCTATCGCTCGTTTACTAGGGGAACTGTTAAAAGGAAACAGAGAACTAAGCGAAGGATGCAAAAATATGTTACATCAAACTCGCGTTGCTTTGAACGAGTTTTTTACCATTTTCCCCACAACTAAAAGCAAAGAGCTGCAGGTTTTATTGAAATCCTTTTCAAATTTTAATGAACAAGTCAATGAAGTCTTGTCTACTGGGAGATTGCTGCTGCTGAAAACTCAAGCGTGCCAGGAGGTTGAAAGAATTATAGACAGATTTAAAAACGCGGAACAGGAAATGGATGCCAAGGTTTTGCCTTACGTCATAGCGGCGGTCAACGAAAAAAAATGTTTCCCTGGCAACGCTCTTGTGTTGTTGGACACAGGGAAATTTAAAATGTTGAAGGATTTACAAGTGGGAGAACGGGTGTTAGCTAGAGACGGTGCGGGGCGTTTAGTGTTTGACGAGGTTTATATGTTCGGTCACAGGCAGATTTCGGCTTACGGTTTGTTTACAAAGATTTACACGGAAAATCATGCCGTTTCCGTCACGGAAAACCATTTTGTTTTCGTGGTCAACGAATGCGGAGAAAGTTGTGTTCCTGCTAGAGATGTAAAAGTCGGTGATTTTGTGCTCGTGTCCTCTGGCAAATTTCTAAAAATCTCAAGAGTAACTAAAATTACTCACGTGTATGAAGAAGGACTGTACGCACCTTTCACCAAAACTGGAACTGTTGTTGTCGACGGTGTGCTGACGTCATGCTACATCGACGTCCTGCCGCACGACACCTGCCATCGACTTTTGTGGCCGGTTCGACTGTTGTACCGAGTCTCGCCTGCCGCTCTGGATACCATCAATGGGGTTTCTCAGTCGACGTGTGTGCCGTGGTGGGCCTCAGCTGCTGCCAAGTTCTTGAAGTAATGGCAGCTTAAATGTCAACTCAAAAACTAAACAATACGTTATGTATTCTAACTCTAAAAGACATTCATTATGATTTTGAAATGTTATAACTTGGACAAAATTTTTTTTTAAAAAACGAGAGCCCTTTCAAAGATGTAATACATTTGTTTAGCTTGTAAGCTTCGATCTTGTTGCTGCGAATATTAACTAATGAATGAGATATTTCTTGTGATCAATATGCAGAACTTGTGCGTCATAGTAACGAGAGCATTTACATTTCAAGTGTTAAATTTACAAATTTCTGAAATCTAATACAAATGTTGACATCGACCTATGTTTACTAAAACTAAGTGTACTTAAAAAATGATTAAATAAAATTCTTGTTTGCATGTTGCGAACATCTTAAAGCAAATCAATTGATGGTTTATATTATTACGGCGCTACTCTACCACTGGTAAAGCTAACGCACGTACCGGATTCTTTTGGATGGTTATAAACAGATGACATACAAAACTAAAAGAGTACCAGACACAAAAACTCTCCATGAACTCGTATCTAACGTCTAGGGGAAAACCACGAAGAACTCCTGTAACTAATAACACTTTTAATCAATTTACAACCTTTTAAAAACCCTACTTACGAGTTGAAATAAACCCACTAGGTAACTATTAACACAGGATATGGCACTTAGGAAATCAACACAGCCTATACAAAACTAAATTAAGGCACAGAATAATGCTTAAATCACAAGTAATGGGGGGGGGGGGGGCAATGCTGCTTTAAACTAGAGAATACAATTTGGCTTCGTACATGGCATTATCTCCCGGTATGTATCGTCAACTGCAAAGAGAGAAGAACGTTCCAGGTATTTATGCCACCCCAGAATTATGGGACGTCACCCTCAAAGTCATAAGACTATTGGGTAGGAAGTCGCCAAAGTACGAATCAACCAAATGAAATTATTGGTGAATTTCTCCACATAGCGTGATGGAAAATTACTGGCGATTGCACCACAGACCACACAAGGTCGATTATATAAATGTAAAACTAAATAATAAAAAAGTAAGACCTAAGTAGGTCACAATATATAAGGGTAAATAGTTCTTTGCATCTATTGTTTAAATCTTTGTTTTGATAAAGTCATTAATTTAGTAACGTCTTTAGTACATTCAGATGTACTTAAAGAATGTACGTTTGCAAAAGTATATGAAAATTATCGTTTAGATTTCACATTATGTATTGCATCTTTACATTTGCTAGTATTATGCTAGTATTTGCTAGCATCCTGTATAATATTTGATCGAACGAATTGGTTAGTAGGTTGCTTTTTGTTTATAGTGGCACTACGTAATTGTATATTGAATTTAAATAGAAATCTAAATGTATTTAAACACTATCAACATTTATAAAATTTGCAAAGATGTTTTATATTTTGCACAGCTACTAAACAAAATATATAGGCCAAGAAAAATGTATCGTTAATTTCTCGCTTGAAGGCAATCACCTTCCTGCTTGGTGTCGCTATCTGGGTGAATAAACACCGTTGTATAAGCCCCGCACTCGCTTTTTTATCATGTACCTTCAATCGCTTCACTTTTGTAATTCGCTTTTGTGAATGTTGGAGTCACGTTGAAGCTGACTAGAGATGAATTATGTAGAAAAATCACCTTTATACGTAAAAAGAATTCGAACTTCGCTTTAAAATGAAATTTTTCAATTGTTTTCTTAATTCGTGTGTACTACTATGTTTAACACAAGGTAAGGTTACATTTAAATATGTCAAGTATCTAAACACTTTTATGCGTTTAACGTTTTTATTTTACTTTATTTATATGTTCGTTTTCCTAACACAAATGCCGCTGATTAACTGCTTAGGAATTTGAGACAAATACATAGTCAATAAAAAAATCATGTAGACGATCAATACTGTGTATATACTGTCATACAAGCTCGTTCTAAATCACAATAAAAACTAAACATACCTTCGTTAATTTGTTTCTGTTTTGTGATGTGTTTGCATGCCCGCTTTGATGGTTAATACAAAAGAAGATAATAAGAAAACCCAAAAATATTTAACGCTCTTGTCTGCCCATTTAGTTTTTTTAGTGAAAATAATGGTAACATTTTAAACTAGTAACTCTTGAAAAGACAAATCCCAAAATATTTAACGCCCCTTGATTTAATTGTGAATGCTCTTTTCAAGTGAAAATATTTTAAAACTAGTAACTCTTTAAACTGATTGTTTATTATTGGAGTAACTGCCGAGGTAAACAGTATTGCCTTAACGTGTAAAACGTAGAAGATATGACATCGCAGGATAACCATATCCCCATTAATCGTTTAGATACTTATATTAAGTGTTTCTTTCAGACTTTTTCTTCGTAGGGGAGGGAATAACTTGAAAGTTTGGGGGTGGGTGTGCGGACTAAAAGTGCCTTGGGAGGGGAGGGGATGGGGGACGACAACACTGATAATAGTATGTATATTATATTTTTTTTTAAATTCTGGCCGAAGAAACACCACAAAACGGTATATTTCTGGTAATGCCTAACTACCCCTATATGTTTACCTTTAACACAGGCGGAATCAGCCACCAAAAACTAGACCTCTACTTCATTTCACCTGAAACTACAGAACAAAATAAATGCAACAGTTCAATCGTGAATAATGGAAGCATTGTTCGTCTAAGCGCCAGTTTCAATGTGTCCGGTATAAACCAGACTGAACTAGTGAACAGTAGTTTAAAATTGTATTACGTAAGTATAAACCCAAAAACTTATGTATTACGTAGGTATAAACCCATAAACTGATGTATTACGTAAGTATAAACCCATACACTGATGTATTACGTAAATATAAACCCATAAACTGATGTACTACGTAAGTATAAACCCATAACCTGATGTATTACGTAAGTATAAACCCATAAACTGATGTATTACGTTAGTATAAACCCATAAACTGATGTATTACGTAAGTATAAACCCATACACTGATGTATTACGTAAATATAAACCCATAAACTGATGTACTACGTAAGTATAAACCCATAAACTGATGTATTACGTAAGTATAAACCCATAAACTGATGTATTACCTAAGTATAAACCCATAAACTGATGTATTACGTAAGTATTAACCCATAAACTGGTGTATTACGTAAGTATAAACGCATAAACTGATGTATTACGTAGGTATAAACCCATAAACTGATGTATTACGTAAGTATAAACGCATAAAAGGATGGTTCATATCATGTAGCAATATTTACAGTCGTATCATTGTAGAGGGTGTAGATCTCTTTTGTTATAACTTTACGATCCCTAATTGTCATTGAAACGCGATAAAAATATCACCACTGAACGATGTTTTTATTTTTTCTTGATCTTATTGTTGCTCGACTGATCTTTTCTAAAGCTTTCAGTATACGTTTTCCGACTTCACAAAATTGTTCAACTTCCGATTTATTTACCCACAGTTTAGAGGACTTTTATTGAATTAACGTGCATCTCTAGTTCATGTAATCTCTGAGATTAACGCAGACAGTTTTACCAGAGCCAAGCTTACCAAATGTTTAGCCCATATCTTACTTAGCTTCTGTGGTTACTGAAACGATTTTAAAAAACCCATTCTGAATCATTAGCTAAAAGAAATGTAACAACGCTAGTACAAAGTAATCAGATAGCGAGTGCCAATCAAATATGCATGTCGTAAATACTTGGTAAAATTCGCACTTTAAAAATTAAAATAAAAAAATTATACCCACCCATGCTAAATCATTTTGATCAACTAATATCCCTCTCTATTTCTTATGGTATCTTTCTTTTACTGATGGTATCTCTTTTGATTATACCTCTGTGTAACCTATTTCTTTAGTTTTCATGTCTTCCTAAACAATCGCTACAGTCGTATGTTGCAATAGAAAAACCTAGAAAGGTATAAACCCTAAAGGCTAGGAATTCACAGCACATCATATGTAGTGATGTCAATACATCTTGAAAGTCTGCTTCGGTTTTAAATCAACAAAAACGAAACTGTACAAATAGCGACCTTCGTGCTGGTGTATTTTCAGGACAATACACTCTTACGATTTCACACTGCCTCAGTGTGTATGTGCGTGATTGTCACCCACTGAGAGTTAGTGTGTGTGTGTGTATTGAGTGTTTGGGGAGAGGGTTTGTTCCTGAGAGACAACACACCACACTTTATACTGTAGAGGCTTACAAACTGTCACGTGTTCATTCAGCTATTAAGCGTACAATCGAGAATGAAGTCAAGCGTGTCGAAGAAACGTGCTATTACAGCAGGCTACGGCAACAAATGTCTTTTCTTCTTTGTTATTTGTACACTTGGACGGTATTTCCTATCAATCAGTTGAGTATTATGTCATATGTTACATTTTACTTTCTAGATTTGCTACAAAGTGGCAGTTGTTTGATAATGGATTTTTTTCTCCTTGATGAGACGCTGTCCCAAGCTATCGAACCTCAACTGCCCGAGGTTTCAAACTCGGGACTTTTTGGTTTAGCAATCAAAAGTTTTACCGACACATCGACAACAAACATATAGCGGGGACAAAAAGGATGTATTAACCCTACATTAAAAGCAAAATAATAAGTTTACACTCTCGCAACATGCGAGTAAATATTTGTTTTAATTGACTTGCTAGTTCAAATATTCTCCAGTGCGATTGGTGATACTATGGGTATTCTATGGCGATAAAACTAGTATACAAAAGAAGTACTATGAAGTTAGTATGGAGATAAAATGGAGATATGGAGAGTTACTATTGAGATCATAAGGAAATGTAATTGATATACTATGCAGATTCTATGAATAGGCTATGAAGATACTATAAATACTATTCAGAAAGTATTGAGGTACTATTAATATACTAAGGATACATTTTAGGATACTATGGAGGACTATGGAGATCTAATTGAGATAAAATGGTGATACTATGATATACTATGATAATACTCTGGAGATATTCTGGAGATACTATTGAGGATTAACCAAGAAGATGCTATAAAGATAAAGATATACAATATATAGCACTGATTTAATGCATAATTAAATTGAAATTAAACAACTAATAATTCCACTGTTAGCTAGCATGCGAGTCCAGCTTTCATTATAGTATCAACTTTAATTATATTATAAATACCATTTTCATACAGGTACTAACGATTGGTCTTTTTTTCAACCAACAACCAAAATAGTATTTTACTATAACCCTGGAACCAAAATAAAATTGTATTTGCATTTTAAATACATCTCGTAAAAACGTGTACACCACCTTACATCTTCAGTAACTCGCTCTCAACGATTCATACTCAATGTTAAACCTGGGCTATTGTTCCACCTTGCCGTAATACAATGTAGCTAGGGGTCTGATACATGGGTGATGTCAGGCTCTTCTCATCTTCTCATCTCCCATGTATGGTGTTTGGGTTACCAACAAGCAGTGATTCATTGGTCTAGAAGACTAAGGGGCCATAATAATAAAATAAACCATTTAATAAAGAAGTTGTTATGTTTATTGCAGGTTGATGGTAGAGCCGTTTGTGACTTGTTGATTACAGAAGATGGTGGCTGTATTAGTCAGGTGGCCAACAGCTGTGATTTTGAATGTTTCAAGGAAGGAAAAGATCTTTATGAGATGAAGTATAATGTTACAATACAAGATAATCACAACTACATAACTTCTGAGATATGTCTTATGTGGCTGAATACGCTAGCACAAAACGAAACTACTTGTGTTGGTATCTATGTTCAAGGTAAGCGCTTGGTTACCATATAAGGTAAGTGCTTGGTTACCATGTAAGGTAAGCGCTTGGTTACTCTATAAGGTAAGCGCTTAGTTACCCTGTAAGGTAAGCGCTTTGTTACCCTGTAAGGTAAGCGCTTTGTTACACTGTAAGGTAAGCGCTTCGTTACCCTGTAAGGTAAGCGCTTTGTTACCCTGTATTATACCATGAAAATACTTTTGGTGCAATCATTCGAAGCATTTTATTAATATTTGATTATTCAATACTAGCAACCTAATATATATTATTTTGTAACTGCATGACCTTGCAAATATTTCAGACGAAAATACAAAAATCACTTACCAGACGATGGTCCTACAGTTTTCATACAATATTTTAACACTTCAGCAGCGACCAATGTACTTTATACACTCAATTGATTGGTTGTTTTGGAGCCTGTTTAGTTACTACAATCCCTTCACAGTGATGACAGTATTCACTAGCTCTGGAGAAAATTTATATTCACACAATTTCTTTCTGGATGACAATGTATCACAAATCGTACAGAAACATTCAGACCTTGACAAGGATATAATCTACACAGTGAATGACGATTACTGTATTCAGTTTGCACTCGTGTGTAAACTAGTAGGTATTACAAACTTTTTTTCTCAATGTTTCATTTATCAACACATTTTGTTTTTAAAGTTAAAAAAGAGAATTTACTTAAATAACCATTTCCTACATGATACTGTTATTTTACAGAACATTTATATGAATTAAACGGATTGAAAATTTTTAAAAAGAAATATTTTAACAATTAATTAATTGATATTGTTGATGTAACGATAAAAAATGACTCAATCATTCCAAAATATCATAAGTAGGCCTACTGTATCTTAATTTTTTAGCTTCTTCAGTTTTTTAAAGTATTAACGTAAAAAAATCCTCTCAATAAAGAACGACATAAAATTGAAAATTTTGAAGAGTTGGAAAGCAGATTTTAAATTACATATTTATATTCTTTCTTTTGTTATACGTATGTAATAATTTAATGTTCACATACTTACAGTAATGCATTGATCAAAACTGCAACTATAATTGCTTTATAAATGCCTGGTTTTTTTTCTTACTATTTTAGATGCGAGACTTCCAAAATGTGAACCGCCCGTGTACACCAACGCCGAAAGCTACGTCGAGTTAAGTTTACGATGCATTTCCCCTCAAAAGTTTACTACGGATTTATACAAAACTGACGTTGAAGATCTATCAGTTAAAGTAAATATTTTCATCACATTTTGCTATAAACATTGTAAATGATTTTTTTTTAATTAAATAATTACTTTTTGCACCTAATTTATTTCGTATTTAGAACATTAAAGATCAACTGTTGGAAGAGAATGGGTCTTTCATTCAAGACTGGACATGGCGTTTTTCAAGACCGGCTGTGGATTTAACGAACGTGTCCTTCTTGTTTCAAATTGAGCTACAGTTGTTAGATTCAACTGAATGCAACATATCGCGATCTTTTCGGGATACAAATAGTAATAATGCTTCATATTTGTTTGTATAAAGTTTTAGTCAATGCGTATATTTTTTTTAAATTGACAAACTTCAACCAAAAAAACAATACAATGCTTAAATAAAAATGTTACATTTTACTGACACTCAATTATCTAAGGACGTGGTTTTTATTTTTATTTTTAAATGAGGTCCAGCTAATGTTACCCTGTCAGCTGACTGTCCGAAGGGTCCAGGAGTTAAAAATGGACACATCAGACGAGGGACAACAGCTGAGTGTGGCTGTGTTAGCTGCGAGTCAGGGCCGGCAAACGTAGGATGGTACACTCCAGAAGGTCAGCGACCTCTCACTGAAAATAAAACTACACTTTTGGTCACATACAATGCAGATGGTAAGCATGTTATTTTCCTCTAATGTTAATATTTTCTTTCTCGTTACAAATATTATTTGTATATCTTAACTAAACGTATTTCAAGACAATGGCTGCTTACTTCGTTAATATTCTTTCTTTATTTTAGCAGTGTGCTGATTTTTTTTATTCACACTTTAACATATCATCACTTTTAAAAAGTTAAACAAATTCATTTTAATGCTTTAGAAAGTAATTACAACAGTAAACAATGTTAAAATATTTCAAAATATATACACTATTTATATTTTTCAACGTTGAGAAATATTTTTTTTTAATTTCCTGAACTATAATTTTTTAATAATATTTTATATTTAACTACTTTTTCTAGTTATACAAATGTGTTTATGCCTAGATTTTCTTTTATCTAGAACCCAGTCAAACGTATCAATGTCGTGCTTATACAGAACTCGGTGTTAAAAGCAGTGTAGATTATGTACCTAAGTTTTATTGTAAGTAAAAGACGCATGCGGTACAATATAATTCATTGTTTTATATTGATTACAAAACATTGGTGATGATTAGCGTTTTTATAGCGTATACTATAATTAAACTTATTTTCGTTTAATCCTATCCCGTTTACATTCCACAAGTAATTAGAACTGCAATAGCTCTTTAATTTTAAGATTTGCATTACTGCTATTTTCAAAGGCAAAATTGATTCATTTCCGTGTGATTTTTTTCTCTATTAAGATGGACCAAACGTTGATTCTTTTTCTGTAAATAACACGAAGTCCACAACAGTTACTTTAAATGGAAACGTATCACTGCTGTGTGAAGTAGAAGGTGACCCACCTGCTAAAGCCTTGATCAATGGCAGCGGTCTTGGACAGGTGAAAGAAATCCAATCTAACACGTCAGTCTTGGAGCTGGTTCTAGAAGATCTACAATGTGAAGACTCGGGACGATATTTTTGTATGGGAGTCAATGGCTTTGAGGAAAGTGGGGCGATGGATCAAAACTGTGTCGATGTTAATGTTCCATGTAGGTTTATATAAATACAGCGATATCGTCGATAAGTCTATATATGTGTCAAAATTATTATTCTCTACATCTCTTAATTTTACTTAATATTTTTGTGTGGAAAAAGGTTGAACGAACAATTAGCCCATTTAATTGGAGAGATTAGTGTAATTTGGTTCATGTTCGTTTTCTTTTCATTTTTTTATATATTGTTATTCATTTATATACCCAATGTATTTTTAATGTAAAATAAAGCCTAGTGTACAGAATAATTATTTTAATCAACCAATCATCTCTTAAACATTGGGGTCGTTGGGGTAGCACGGTTAATTTTCTCGTTAATTTCTGCCTTCCATCTCGGTCATCTGCTGCTGTGAGTAGCTCCAAAACAGGAAGCCATGTCCAATGTTTGAAATCATTCATCCAGTGATGTCTTCCCCTACTTCTCCATCCTGGAATAGTTCTTTGCATTATTGTTTGGATAGGCTGTTGGCTCCTGCGGCATGTCCATACCAACTCAATGTTCTTGTTTTAACTACGCTAAGTATGCTCTCACTGGAGCCGATTGAACTAATGATAATTTCACTGACTTCTTCATTGGTTATGTGATCTCTTTTTGAGATTCCAACGAATCTTCGTACACATCTCAATTCCAGTGCCCAATTGCGTCTCTAAAGGTCTGCTTTGAGGGTCCATGGCTCATATTCATCCATGAAGACATACATATACAGTGACCGCAAGAGATTAATTTTTGTGCTAATAAAAGTATTTTTACGCACCATACGCTTCTTAATTTACCGTGTGCTGTTATTTGAGCAGTTCTTGCAAATATTTCTTGCTGTGTTGCCTCATCAGATAATATGACGCCATATTACCAAAATGAGTGAACCTTCTCCAATCTTTGACAATTTACTCTTAGGTCTCTCATAATTACGTTTAGATTGTTGGTGATATTCATTAGCTTTTCAGCGTTGCTATCCATGACTTATGATGTTCATTTTCTGTGCAATTTTTTAAATAATCCTATCAACTCGTCTTTATTGCTTGCTACGTCATCTATGTCGTTAGAGAAGACATCGTTTTCCAAGGCGCCAGGCTCAACCCTTTATAGGTAGATAGTGACACACATTGGAAAGAACAAACAGCCTTGCCTGACACCTATCGTTCTTCTGAACCATTTGCTTATAGTAACTCACGGTTTGTTTTAATATTTTTTAGGTTTGTTAAAAGAAAGATACCCAACACCGGAAATTCCCGTTGTCCGCGTGTCACGTGACAAAAACACAGTGTTTACACTTGAGATCTACGGATATCCTGAGCCGACGAAATTCGGTCTAAAAATAGAAACGGGGAATTCCTTATCCGAAGTAGACAAAAACAACTATCACATCTCCTACTTGCCTAAGGTGCCACCATTCGGTGAGGTCACCGTGACATTATATGACATACCTACCAAGACCATCACAACTTACATACTAAGTGTGGCTAACACAGGAGGGGAACTGGAACTCAAGTTTAATGTCATCAATGAATTTATACATACTAAAAAATCAAGTAACTTATATTTTTTCATGAATATTTGATCAACACTTATAAACAATAAAGTTTGTGTATATATATATATATATATATATATATATATATATATATATATATATATATATATATATATATATATATATATATATATATATATATATATATATATATATATATATATATATATATATATATATATATATATATATATATATATATATATATATATATATATATATATATATATATATATATATATATATATATATATATATATATATATATATATATTTATTTATTTATTTATTTATTTATTTATTTATTTTTATATACACACAAACTTTATTGTTTATTGTATATATATATATATATATATATATATATATATATATATATATATATATATATATATATATATGAAATTAAAACAATACTTACATAAACAAAGTTCACTTGTAAAAATAAAACATTCAACTAATTGTTTCAAATATTAAAATCCATTTTTTAACTTCTACGGTTGTAACATTACAGAAGACGATACGTTTTGGGTCAAGGTTGGCGTAGGAGTTGGTTGTTCTATACTGGCTATTGCTGTGGTCACTGCTTTAGTTGTATGGTACGTAAGGAGTCACTATACCACGACGGTCAGGGGATAAGGACAACGTCGTTAGTACTACAGGTAAGTAGAAAGAAATCAATAAAAACGGACACGTGCTATTATCATAATCTAAAGGAGAAACAAAAGAAATAGAATGTAATGTAATATAGATAGGTAAACTATTCAACTATATAAAAATGTAACCCATGTAAGAGTGATCTTAATCTATTTATATACACGAGCCGACCCGCAGCGTATCATACGCCGCTATTTAGTTGTTTTATTTTCTACTTTTCAGTAATTCATAATTTGTGAATTCGACAGTACCAATGCTGCCACTGAAAATATTTGCTTTAAAACACTAACCCCCCCCCTTACCCTAACCCCGACCCTACACCCCCCCCCCCCCCCCGTGAAAGCAGCCTCCTCTTAGTTATTTCTTAGTTACCTCCTGTAAGTTTAAAATCAAACTAAATTATCTGCCCCTAATAGAAACCCGGCTCTACGGCTCTATGATTTGTAAACATTTAGCTTTGTAAACATTAGCGTGACCACAGCTCACCAGACAATGTGGGGGTGGGGTGGGTGTGGTAGTGATAGTGATAGAGAGATAGAGAGGGGACTGCAAGGTGGCGCTTGCAGCTTGTTTTCTAAAGGCTCCCAGAAGAGAATTATATATATAGATACCCTATTTCTGTTGTTTACACAGTCCTACAGCCTCAGTATTTACATTTCACAGGCAAAGGTTCGCCCCCACAGGATTGCAAGCTAGGAATAATATCACTCTCATATATCGTTGTTGTTTGTTTAACATTGTACTTTTAAATGTATGCTTTACGATTTATATATTACAAGGGAGGTAACTTTATAAAATAAATATTTTAAAATAATTTTATACTATATTATTAAAACAGAAAATAACGAAGTTTAGCATTTATTTGAGTGAGACTTGTGATACAGAGTACATTTTTTTATCCTAATTAAATTATAGAAATTAACTTCAAAAGTCAACTTAATATAACTTAGGTGTTACACTATTCAGGGAACTTTTGTAGTTCTAATTACCTTTTAAGTAATAAACTGCGAACATTCCAGAAGTTTCTCTCAAATACCATTAGTGTTTAAACTTAAGCTCTCCATATCAGCCAATCACTAATTAATTAAGCATTCAAATTCTCAAATGCTTCTTGAAAACCGAAGCGAAGCTAGGCGGTATGCCTAGTTTATATATATTTTATATAAGGAGAATTTCACTCCCGGTTATTTTTTAGCCCTCGCCGCTAGTTTATCCATAAGGCCTATTTATTTACCCAGGTTTATGGAAAACATGAGCGAGATGTACTGAGCCAAAGTTCCAAAACACTGTTTTGAAAAGAGTCATCGTTTTTCAGAAAACTAACAATGTTTATATAGGGAAAATTCGGACCGGTCAGTTCTAAAGGTCTTCCGGGGTTTTCCGGAACATTTCATAGTTTATTTTTTTTGCAACTCCCAAGGGTCGGTCTACGACCTCAGGAGTCAGGAAAAGGTTCCTAAGTGGGA